GTGCTGCGGCCTGCTTTGCGCGGCGCGTACGTGCACCGCTGGTCTGGCTTGCTCGCTGCGGCTGCATCCCTAGCTTTTGCTGAGAGCTTGACTTTCCTGCCGTCGCCTGGCCTTAGCAACCTTGACGGGCCCGGCCCCGACATCAGTGACTTGTTGGCGGGCGTCCGGGATGCCCCGGATGTGTCCCGCCTGCCTGCCCGGTAGGGCCTTGCATGTGAGGGTGCTGGCCTCCATAAAAACAGCGCTTGCAGCGCAGCCCTTGTGCCCAGGGCCCCCCCCTAAAAATGGACAGAGCCGCTGCGGAAAAAGGCGCGAGGCAGAAACAAATAATAATACGATACAAGGGTTGTGGTTTGGAAAACTCGAGAGGGATGATTCCCACATCATCCTCACGGACGCTGGTGCTCTGACAGGTCTGTCCGCCGTCTTCCGTCTATGGCGCAAAGCCAGCCAACTGTGATGGATGTGCCAGCAGGGCTGCCCTGGGAGCCACGCGGAGGAAGAAGGGTCAAGTTCCTCCCAGGTAGTGTGCCTGCCGGCCCCGCCTGTGCCGGAGGTTCACCAGGCCCGCCTCCGGTGGTGGCTGAAGATGGGATGCCGGAGCGCATCGATGAGGAAGCGCTCGTGGTTGAAGGAGTGGCCATGAGCACGAGCCAGCAACGGCAAGTTCGGCAGCTGTTTCGTGGGCCCGGGCTCGCCCCTGGCTGCCTTGCACAAGCGCACCGTCCTCGCCTGCCGGCCTAGGAGCGACGCCGAAGAAAACCCCAGGTGAAAGCGACGAAGCTGATGCTCGTCCCGCCAAGCAGGTCCAACGGCATGATGTATGGCTGAAGATCGAGGCGTGGGCAGACTCGCAGGAAGAAAACAACCCGTTAGCCCAGCAACGGTTGGCGAGCGTGTGCGAATGGTTGGACGGCCTGCTTGACGCAGATACGCAAACTGTGGGATCGCAAGGCCTTTGTGCCAACCCACAGGTCTCACGCCAAGAGCAAAAATATTCCACTTCAAGTGGGTGGACAAGGCAAAAAAAAAAAAAAAAAAAAAAAAAAAAAAAAAAAAACGGGGCGCACAAGAGCAGGCTGACGTGTGCTGACGTGAAGCGCAGCTACACTGAAACAGACGAGCAAGCACGCCTACGCCGGAATCACACGCGCTGCTGGAGGTGTCAGCTTTGCGGATTGGCCATGCTACGCGCTCATTCGATATCGTGGCAGCCTTCCTGATCGACGAAATTCCGTGTTCATGCGTGCCCCGCCGGAGTGGCGCCCAATCTTTGAAGAATGGGTGTGCACTCAACCGCGTGAAGGTCAGCGGACCTTGTGTTCTGCCTAGACGACTGCCGGGTTAGTCTACTGCGATGAGCTTGAAGAAATCCTGTGCCAGCGGCTGGCGCCTGAGTTCCAGTTCAAGCGGGGCGTGCGCGACCCATGTGTGCACAGGTGTGACAAGACACAAATCACTCTGCTGCACCACATAGACGACGGGAGATGCGCGGGCCCCACCGCCATGCTCAACCGTCTGATCGACGAAGTCATCCCACAACACTGTGAAAATCTGTGAAATCCAGGCCGGGCTGCTGGAGTGCGAAGGAATAGCAGTGGAGATCCTGGGCCGAACAAAGGCGCGAGAGGAAAAAACAACAGGCTAAAGGATGCCATTCTCACAGCCCCTGATCCGAAACACGCCAGGAACGTCATACAGATGTTGAGTGCCCCCCCCAGGCAAGAAGTCACCAGTGCCATCCAGACGGCCAGACCTGAGCAGAACCGATGCCTTGGACAATAGCTGGGCTGCACGCTGCCGATCTGCGGTTGGCTCGGCAATCTACCTCAGCTCCGACTGTCGGGATATTGGTTTCGCCACAAAGGAGCTGGCGCGCCACATGGCGTCGCCGCGCCAGTGCGATTAGGATGCGCTGTGGTGCTGGGGAGATTTTTGCTGTCTCACCCAGACTACGTGCGGGTTACCGCTCTCGACGCAAGCGCCCATGACGGGGAGATGGCGCTCGACGCGCTCTCGGACTCAGACTGGGCCGGCTGCTTGGAGACCTGGCGTTCCACGGACTGCCACACTGGCTACCTTGGAGGGGCAGCGGCGGCAGCCACCACGCAGAACCAAAAGCTTGCCTGCAACGTCCTCCCAGGATGCGGAGTTGCGAGGTAGAAGCCGTGTTTGCGCGGGAAGCCTTTTTTTGTATGGCTTAGCCACGGAGGACTTTGGACTGCGGATGCGGAAGGTCAAGAGAACTGAAAACCCGGCCGATTTCCTCACCATGCACCCGAAGGCAGGGCCTTGTCGCGAAGCTCGAGCCGGCGGCCCATTGAAAGCGGAGATGCGAGCAAGTCTTGCTTGGGGACTTTCTTGACCCCAGGCTTCCGGTGCAACAGCTGGCGGGGCAACAGGAACCGCAATTTCCATGCTCGCATTGACGCGCCCTCGTTCGCACTGGCATGGAAGATAGCAGGGAGGGCAAACGTAAGGGCCTGCCGCGAGCAAAAGAAGGCACAAACTGAAGGTAAAGGCAGAAGCTGGACAGGGCTCGTGGGCGTCCGGGCAGGGCCTGGGTCGGGGTTGGGCTCTAAAAAATGCCCAGCCAAGTGGCTGCTGCGACTGTTGTCGGCGCGGCCGCTGCGGCGGTTGTCGGCTGGGCTACTTTGGGCCCCCACGGTTGCCGCTGCTGCTGCCGCGGTTTGGGCCGTGGCCAGTGCTGTTGCCGCGGCTGCGGCTGTTGCTGCTGCTGCTGCTGCCGCTGCTGTTGCTGCTGCTGCTGCCACCGCCCCCGCTGCTGTGACTCGTTGGTGGGCGCTGGCGCAGCAGAGGTGCCAGGGATGTGGGGACTGGCTGGCCGCTCTGGTTGCTGTGGTCGCTCTGGTTGTCCGGCATGGCTGGCGTGGATGGGGATGGCTGGGACTCAGCCTTGACATGTTTCTGCCAGCGTCGCGAGCCAAAAAGTTCTGGCCGTGCCATGCAGCAAAGATGAAAACACCTATCCACGGCTGCTTCAGACTGAAGGGCTGGCTCATGGGCAAGCGGCCTTCCATTAATGTTCTTGTCAGGGTTCGGCGGATACGTCCAAATTGCTCACCGCTGCAGCGATCTTCACCCTGCATCAGAAGACGCCAGCACTCCGGGAAGCCTGAATTAAGCTTAGAGATTCGCTGTCGGCGCTTTTGATACAATCAGCTGCAAAGCCATGCTACAGGCAGTGTCCGAGAGCTTGCCTGTCGTGCGCAGTTCTACTCTGACCCCTCCCTTTTTTTGTGCATGACGCCGCTGGCCAGGCCCACATAATGACTTTCGCGGGCAGAGGGCGGTGAGCAGGGTGACCCTTTGATGCCTGCTTTGTTCGCCGTAGGTCAGCACGAGGCCCTCGCTGAGGTGTGCCGCCATTGGCGTCCGGACACGTGTCTGCTGGTCTATCTCGAAGACATTTATGACATCACCTCTCCTAGGCTGGTGGCTTTTGGCGTCCCGCGCAGCAATCCTGCCTTGTTTACATTTGTTACATGTCGCGGCGCGCCAAATAGCGTGCAGGCAGGAGTCATAAGTTTGGTTTCACAAGCAGTACCTCCGCATCCACGCCGGCTTGCTGCTCACAAAAAAGGAAGTAAGTAACTTGTTGCGCTACTTAAAAATGAAAGCAAAGCAAACTTGAAAAGGGAAAAGGCAAATCTGATGTGAACAAAGTTGAGCTTAGCGAAGGTGAGGACATAGCACACGCGGAAAGCTTGCAAAACACACGTGTGACTGCACCTGCCACAATCTTGCCAGGTTGCGAGGATGTAGGGACGGCAAACTATAGGCAGGGCTGCTTTCAGTGCTGGCTCATGTGGTGGAAAGCTCGGCCAAAATCGAGGAAGTCTCTGCGGCACACCTGTGCGAGCATGTTCCGGCCATCACGTCCTGGAAAGGACAACTTGCCAACAGAACGCCCTTGCAATTTGCACAAGCAGAATGGTAACATGGCCGCTGGCCACAGCAACAAGGAGCTGCTGCTCCGAAGCTTGTGCATGAAAGCACAGCTGACTCCCGTATATCTCAGCGTGCTTTGCCGGGGCAGTGAGTGCCGCGACGGTGGCACCCACAACGAGCGATGCACGTGGCCAAGCACTGCATGCGGAAAACTGGGACGGCAACCAGCGTGGAAAGGTTGCCAAGCCAACGTGATTGCGTGCTCAGGGTTTCCAAGCAGCCTTTTGTGCGGTTTGCAAAGGCGAGTGTCCAGCCACGCGTCGCTCGCTGACGGAGGAACACGCAATGGTGCGCTGAACATTGGCCATCCGCACTGCAAAGTGGGTGGCCAAACTGTTCGAAAGGTTGACCCTCTTCCTCGCACCCATCGTGTATTCTGACCAACGACATATGTTTCCCCAGTTTCCAGCAATTGTGCGACACAAAATGAACCGTGGGAAGCCGGCGAGGTTCTGATCTCCTATAAGTAACACCCGTATAAGAAGTTGCATTTGACCAGCATGCAACTCCAGTTCCGGATTCCGAGGGTCATAGGCAACTGAAGAGACCATGCATGCTCCAGTCGCACTGATTCGCACGTTGCGCCATATCACGTCGCGGCGCAGCGTTTTCCTCAGACGGACCATAACCAAGCTGGGTGTTGGATTGATATATTCAAAGCGGCTAATGGTTGCTGATTGTTGCACTACTAGTCGGCTAATGACTCGTGGTGACCGAACTGGTTCTTGGAGCTATGAATGCTAAGGCAAACATCCTCATCAAAACACGTTGGCGCACATAACCTCCATGTAACTTGGCTATTTGCTAATCGCTTGCTAAAAGCTAAGCTTCTGGTCGGGCATGTCATGCCTCGCTCCAAGCCACAAAGGCATCTAAAAGTGTAAGGCTATGGCTGGGAACCGCCAAGGAAATTGATGTTTGCACAGGGCATTCCTGCAAAGTTACTAGGGAAACAACCAGATCTCGCGCCAACGCGACCTCGCCGTTGCCCGCACACTCAGCAAAAGCTCCGACGCGCCACAGCCCTTTTCCACCAAAGCAGCGCACTCGACTCGCCAGGCGCGCCACTCACTTTCGCTTCAGCTACCTGAGCGTGTCACCCATGAGCTCTCTTGCCCTTCTGGATCTCCCTTAATTTCTGCCATGTTGAATCTTGCACCCCTCTTGCCTTTCTTGCCTCTTGCGGCACCCAAGTTGCGGTCAAATGAGATCACCCTCATGTTGGGAACATATAATGTGCCAGGGAGTCCATTCAATCACCTTAAAGTAGCTTGGTGCCACAGAACATGGGCCAGAACTTCCCTCACTTCCTGAGTTGATTCACCAAACCAAACACACTTTCTGCTTACCACCAACGTGTCCAGGAAGTTGAGTTAATTTCCCGTGAATTTAGATGCCGAAATGGGGTAACTGCCCGGCTGAACTTGGGGCCTTTACTGGGAGCACTCCCCCGTCCACCCGTCCACCCCACTCCCCACACGTCCACTTCCTTGCGTCTTCTAAGAGGGCATCAGAATCTTGGGAGCGCTCGCAATGACTCTACCAAAGGGTCCCTGGTAAAACCGATCAGGCTAGGGAGAGATGCAAGGACACTGCCTAAACATATGGGTTTCCTCTCTGACGTATGCCATACAAACAGACTTGTCCCAAAGAACAGTGCCATGCTGTGCTGCGCACGCAGCTTTGCAGCCTGGTACCTGACCAGCCCGAAGCCTTGATCAGATCTGTTTCTTGCCCGGATCTTGCCCGGATTGCTTCACCGCCTTGTGAGCTGTTAGAAGCAAATTGCAAGCCAATACATAGTGCATCTTCATCATGCGTGTAGTACGTGTTCTTCAGTTTGCTTGATTGTTTGTTTGGCCTCAATTTCCCACCAGGAGGCACCCTCTTCCCCGCAAATCATGGAAGCTGGCAGAAGGGTTTGGAAAAAGGTAAGACACATGCATGGCCACGACCCACAAGAACATAATAGCATCACATCACGTCACAGCACAGCACAGTCTATCTCACACACACACACACACACGCAAACATCACAGCGCTGTGGCATCCTACAAATTGCTCCCATCAAAGCCGAACATGCTGCATGGAGAATTCCAAGGGCCCCCTAGGTCTCCCACTTCCACACCCCCATCCAAAAAACAATTCAGAAAGAGGGACACCTGAACCTAAACAGACCTGCAGATTACCAAAGGAACCAAAAGGAATACAAGTGTAGTGTGTTGGACACTTTTTCGGTGGCAACCAAACGAACAAAAAGGAAGGCATCCCCGATGTTACGCAACCTCCGTTTTGAGTAATTATGCATCAAAATCAGGTTTTTCCCTTTTGGCTTCCCTTTGAACCAACCTGAAAAGGCGCACCCTCCAGAATAACACACTGGGAGTCTCTGAAACATTAAAAACCCATCTCTATGGAAGATACCTAAAGAGGAACAAAAACACGAGAGATGCGCAGTTTTCCCGTCGGAGGCCGGCGAAGCTCCGGGTGGCCCGACAAGGGTTCTTGGCCATGCACCCGCGACTAGGCCTCGACGTTCCGGTTGAGTGGTGCGGCGGCTGGGTGCGGAAACCAAGCAAAACCACTCCGAGTTCTCAAAATGACGGACCCGCCACCGGCTATGCAAACCGTGCTGCATCTCACTCGCCCAGCGGTTTCCAACAGTGAGAAGGCTTTTGATTTCGAAATCAAAACCCAGACCCATACCCAAAAAGAACGACAGGCCGGATATCAACACCCCAGGGGGGTCGCTGGGATATCACCTAATAACTAAAAGGACGGGATGTCCTATGACTTCTGGTCAACCCTCAGCCCCTCCGCTTGTTCGGGTTTTGACACCGGAAAAGAACAGCGTTTTCACGGGGGCCCATTCAACAAAAAGAACCACCTCAGATACCTTAAAGTACGCCTTTGAAAAACCATGGTGGGTTCTCGAGAATGTCCAGATCCCAAAACTCAAAGCGTGAAGCTCATGGGTGTGTCTCAAAACAGGGGGACCCCCAGAATTGGAGGTGGTCCTCAAATTTCAAAAAGCAATCCCAAAAGGGACCAACACCAACAAAGACACCCAAATATCAACCGTCTTGAAGAAAGTAAACCTTGAACCTGCCTGATTTCTTCCAGTAGACCTAGACATTTGAGGGTGAGCTCATGCGTGCCAGGATACCAAAGGACTCTGTGGTTCGCCATGGCTTCAATACGAATCTCTCCTTGGCTGATGGGAATCCACTCCTTTACGGCTTTCGGTCAAAAGGACTCCAGTAAGAACCCCTGGTGCAACTCCGCGACAAATATCAAGGCGTCCATGACCCTCCTGGATTAAGCAAGCTTTTGCCCACAAGTGAGCCACAGTCCAAAAAAGTGGACGTCAGTGGACTGGATATTTTGACCGAAGCTTCCGACCACGCCCAATGCTAAGGCCGCGACCCAAGCACCTCAGAGCCACAATGGCCAACATGCCACGGCCTTTACATCTTGTGGTCCTTGATGGCCCTCATCACCCTTATGGCCCCCTTATGGCCCCCTTATGCCGCACTGTGGCCCCTTGATGGCCCTCTCATAAAGGTGCCACATCGAATAATCGCTTCACAGCCACTGACAATGGTGAAATAATCACTAATTAGGCTGCAGTGGTTTGCCCTATCGCTGCAAATCAGTCAATGAGTGTTTTTGGGGATTGGACGATCAGAGAGCATCAAGACAAAGCCAACCCTTAGTGCCGGGTTGATCATTCGCCCCCTCTCGCGTTCGACAACAGGCGTGAGCCAACACTGCGGCAGCCATTCGCGATCCGAGGGCCCCGCCGCCGTAGCCGCCGTAGCCGGCCGGCCACCTGGCGGCAGATCGCACAAAGTGGACTTCATTTCGATGGTAAATTTAAAAAGAAAAAACAAATGTGCAATCCTGCAGGTTCACATGCAACCCGAAAGCGAGGCTCCCCCAAAACAGCTTGCCTATGCAAAGTCTAGAAATGATAGCTCGGTGTCTCCTGCTGCTTTCCGTGTCACTTCAAAGAGTTGTGGGAAGTGAGTGGGACTAAGGCTTCTGTGATACCAGAGGACGCCTCCCCCTTTGGAACAAGGATTCGTCATCAGGAGGGTTTAACCTCTGCATCCCTGTGGGCAATTCCCACAACCTTGGGGGTCAGAATGGAGCCGGGACCAGTTCTAATCGACCTTAGTCATTGGGATAATGAGCATCCGAAGCAGCATAACATCTGTTTTGATCAAAAGAACCCGGCGGCATTCAGTTAATGCCTGATGGATTCGTCTCCATCCTGACAAAGGGGGCCCTCCCCCGCAATTGCGCCCCGCAGGAATGAACCAACACGTGCATCCATGTGGGTGAAATGTGATGCGGAAGCCCTCGTTACTAAACTCGGCAACTGATCATAGCGATTCATGTGAAAGGAAGCTTCAGCAAATCCTAATTCCTGATCAACAACCTAGCTGGGGTTCCTGTAGGGGTCTCATCTTCCTACGTCCACCGATCAAAGCCAGGGGAGTTTGTAATCAGGGGTTAACATCAGCACAAGAAAAAACGCTATTTCTACCCTTTTGTCGTTGGCTGACTTCCAATCAAGAACGTGTGTCCTACTTGTCCATTGGACAGGGAAACAAAAGACACCCTTTTTGTTTTCCCCCCTTCCCAGTGGACAGGGGAGACAATAGACATTTGTTGTCGCTAGCTGAATCTCAAGCAAAGCAGGCTTCATGCTTGCCCTGTGCACAGGATGAACACACCATGCTTCGTTCAAACGATTTAATCTGCCCCTTTTACAATCATTCCAAAACCTGAATGAGGGATCGCAGACTCATGTTGAGTCATTTTACCCGCAGGTGAGCTGCCATAAAATTGGCAACTGTTTAATGAACAGTACACCCGTGCGAAAATATGGCCACTAGACCGACAATCCCCAAGTTTGCCTCGTGCTGGCTCAATGCCCGGCCTTTCACTCCAGTCGCCGGCCCACTCCCAGCCTGGCCACCAATGGAAACTGGGCGAGACCGTGCCCTAAACTCAATTCTCAGTTCCACTTCCACCCAAGTCTACTTTAGTTCTAAGGCTAAGAACCTCCTTACTCTGCAGATGGTCAAAAACGTCTACACATCTCCTTTGCCGCTGAAAGCCCTTTTGCAGGCCTGCCAAAGGGCATTTCGCAGAAAGTACCCGCGACACTTGCGAGACGCGAATTCACGCCCCCCTCTCCCCGGTATTGGCTAACATATACCCAGCAGATTTGGGCCCGGCTCTGGGCCAAACAGGTGTCAGAAGAACTTCCACATGAAATTGAATCAAGGACCCCGAAGTGGACATGATTTGGCGCTTCATGTCCACCAACCGGCTCCCTCTATGAAAACTCATGGCCATTTCACTGGAAGGAACCTCTCCAGGTCCGAAGAGTCGCAGCAAGCAACATCCAAGTTTCCCAATGGGCCGTAAATCCGATGCCACACAAATGTCCTAGTCAAAGTCCATAGAACTGTTCAGCTCCCTGTGCTCCAAGGACCCAGAAAACATATCTGGTTGCGGACACCTCGGGTGTTTTTCTTTGGTCGGGCCCCAGGCTGAAACCTAAAAAGTTTGTATGAATACTCAGCAACTGAGTGCACTGGCCCAAAGAACACCCCTTAAAAAGTAAACACTTGCTGCGCGGGTGTGTCGTTTGTCTGACGCCCCTTGATTGTTTTTTCAAAGGAAGGCCAAAGAGAAACCAGCCTTCATGGGTTCCAATTTTGAGACACATCTTCCCTTTCGGTATGAGCTAACATCCCTCGACTTTCAGCAGATTCGCAAATTTGGTTTCGACAGAGGTCATGGCCTAGATTGGACGTCGCAAATGGGTGCGAGTTACAATGGAGGACCCCCAAAACGTTGGCTTTCCCTTTGGCTTCCCTTTAAGCCACCCCACAAAGGGGGCGCTCCACAAAACACACACAGAGAGACATACTCAAATCATGTGTGACTTGGCAATATAAACCAGGGGTGGGAACCCCACTATTTGCCCACCTCCCATCATGTTAGTGCTGGGGACTGGGGACCCTCTTTGTCCCCCTCCCATCTTTAGCTTTTGGATTAATCAAGACAGGCCCCGGGTCGAAAATCAGAACAGGTTCTCCGAGCGGATTCTCCCCGGCCTGCATCCTCGCCATACCCCTCCTGAGAGCTTCTCAGGCCACCTGTGTGGTCCCTACAAGTGGCTGGCACGAATGTTGTGCCCAATGGGTGCCCTTTTGCGGATGGTCATAGGGAGCAAACATGCAATCATTGGGAGGCGTCCCTTTGTCACATCCGTGTCACAAATCAGCCTGAGTTCCAAATAAAAATAAGTCCAGCAACTGAAGTGAGCTTGGGAATCCACATAGCAAAATGGTCCAAGTGCAAATGCCCCTTCCACGTCACACCAATCCCCCCGGACTCCTGCGGGGCTGCGTTGGTGACACCTGCAACACATCCCTCGTTGCCGGGGAAAAGCAGATGCCACAATTCCCACATAAAATTCTTCGCGTAGGGATGACTAAACCACAATGAGGAAATTGGGCCTACTTTCACCCAGGGAGAGGATTCGACGCCTTCTCCACATACTTGGGCAGCGGTTTATCACAACGCAGAATCTACGTACGATAGTCACCTGTCTCACCTGAGCAGTGCCCAAAACCCATTGACGTTGGTCCTACCAAAATGATTGTCAAAGTTATATGGTGTCATTTTTTAGGGGACCCCCCCAAAAAAAACAACCAAGAAAAACGTATATATATATATATATATGACTTTCCTTCTAGTTTCCCTCTAGCACCGCAACAAAGTACCCTCAAAGAAGACACCCCATGTGGGCCTTACTTCAACCCAATCAAACCAGGTAGTATAGCCACCTACTAAGTTGACCCTTTTGAGGTTTTTGTCTCTGCCGATCTGTTCAAAGGACCTGCGCAGTTTTGATCCCAACATTGGCAAGTGAGTCATCCTCTGGCCAAATATTGATCGTTCACCAATCTGAAATAAGAAACAAACAAGTAATACCTTCATGATGGGGGGGTACAGACCCTTCTGGGGTCACTGTATGGGTATTTCTCAAAAATGGGGCCCCCCAATATATGGTTGGGTTCTCTTGGTTTAAGTTTAAGTACCACCAAATGGGGTCCACCATTTTGAGATCCCCTCATATTTTGCCCGGAATGTTTGGTAGGCATGTGAAAGACGGCGGCTTCTGCTGGATTTTCCGAGGGGCATTGGCTCATGCTCACTTAGGCGGCGGCCAACCCTTCACATCTTGGCTGCTCCACCCACGACAGATACATAGATAGATAGGTTTAGGATTAGAAGAGATAGGATTAGGATCAGAACTAGCATTAGGATTGGGCGGATTAGGATAGAATGGGATGGAATAGGATAGGATAGGATAGGATAGGATAGGATAGGATAGATTGTGTGTGTGCGCGTGTGTTTGCGTTTGTGTTTGCGGTTGTGGTTGTGTGCGATTCGGGTTGCGGCGTCTTATCACTCGGTTCGATAGGAATTCGGGGTTCAATAGTGTTTTAGGATGTATCAATATGTATATATATATATATTATGTATATATGTATATGTGTATATATATATATGTACATGCAGAGCGCAAGCACTGTAGAAGAAAACATTGTAGAAGAAATTGAGGGGCTGAGATTGCCAAATCAAGTAGGTTGCAACTGCATTTGCTGCTAAAAAATTGAGCACAACTAGATCGTTAGTCCAATTTCTGAGCAAACTTGTGTGTGAAGAAGAAAGCATGTTTGACCATCAGGGCAACAAATCCAGGGCCTTAACTTCATTTGGGGGAAGGTTCTCAGAAAGGCTCCAAACAGCTCACGAATGGTATTTTTTAACCGTCAGGGAAGTACCCGCTCAGAAATCCAAGACATTCAACCCCTTAATTGCTTGGCGAGGGACAACTGTGCCCCGGATTTTGAGCCAATGTCGTATAATCAGTGTCAGAGGTGCAGGTGTAGCACTACATCAACTCAGCTTGCTGTGGCTGGCTGCCTGGGGCTCTTCAACCACCGAGAAAATGGTTCGGCTTCACAAGAAAGAAATTTTGAGCCCGAAAGGCTGCTAAGAAATTGAGCCTCTGAATTTCTAGCAAAGGAGTCCTTCACAGCCCGAGATTACCGCCCAGTGAATCAAGACAAGGTTTAACAATTGGCTAAGATAAATCCAGCCCTCCTGGCTCTAGAGGGGGTAACAACCAGCCCTTTCAAAGACGAAATGGCTGCTAAGCAATTCAGCCGCCTCCCTGGGCCTCGACAAACCGATTTCTTACACAGTCGCGTGTGTATATGTAGAGGTTCGTCGTACGTTCGTGAAGCCAAAAGGACCCTGAGATCAGGAGCGCCTGCAGGTCTTGGCATCGTAGTCATGCCATCTCCTGACCGCAGAGCAGACCACATTCAACAAATGGGAGTTGGGCCCAGCTACGACAAAAGCAGCCTAGTGCTTGCTTCATTTGAGGCGTGACATGCAGCTACTAGTCAACGAGTCCAGCTTGATTTCTTTGAGGCATGGCACATAAAATGCATTTATAACTTGCTGAGATGAGGGGCCCGACAAAAGCATCACTTGTTCATTGTGGCCGAAGGCAAAACCCGCAAATTTATCCAACTCCACCACCATGCTATCTGGATTTGCCTCTTGACGACTTCTGTTAGGAGAGAGGTCTCTCAGCGAAGCCTTGCAAATGACCGGTTTGCTTATGGTGGGTGGATTATTCCAGTCACAGAGCTTCATCCAGCACTTTTTGTTGATCCATCCAACATCACAAAAGCGGCAAGATTCACCTTTCCGCAACCCCTGCTTGCAGTATGTGTTTCGGTAAAGGTGGCACCGGTGCATGACTACACCTGCTCCTTATGCCAAGCCTTATGCAAATGGGAATCACACATTCGCTGAAGCACGAAGTCTTAGTTGCTTGTGGCCATGCCGCTGATGCACATGATGGTTGACATTAGTTCTTCCTTTGTATTCCGGGCCGTTCGCTTGAGCAGCACTCAACGAAGTGCGGTTCCGCGACACTGGTCACACAAATCCATGATACAGAGCCTCCGACTATTTGACCCTGAAAAAAACAAGATGACTGACCCATTTTGGACTCCCTGCATTTCCTCAGTCCAAGGAACAATCCCCTGTCTTTCAAGTTGCGATAAAGGGAACCATATATAACTTACAATTCCTGCGTGCCCTGGGGGCCTGCGCAGAGCAATAAAACACTTGGGCGGCTGATTGTATTGCTATGTCTCCCGATTCTCAAAAACCCTTCGCCCCTTCGCCCGGTTTTCCTCCTGTGTGGGCCATGGCTCCTTGCGCCTCACAAAAGCGGCACTGACTTATGATCCAGTAGACGGAACCACAACTAGTTGATCCCAGTGACCAAAACCAGGTCACCAGCCAATGTTCCTTTAGCTGTTTGAAGGGTGATTCCCTTGGTTACGTACTATATACAAACGGAATCGAATCACTGGGATAGCTGATGGTTGATTAATTACTGTCAGCATCGGATTTTCATCTGGACGACCATACTAATCAGGGTGGGAAACTCGCTCTTTTTAGTGGGGAGTGCTCCATGTTATGGGAATTTCTCAGAGTGGTATGCTTCTCCTGGGTAGTCCGAGCTCAACATTGCTACTTGTAACATGAAGCAGCATGGCATCAAGCCCTTGTTTAAACATGCGTGCCGTTTGGGCTAACCTTCCTTGGGGGTTCCCTTTGGAGGGGTGCTGTGGGTGCTTGTCACGATGAAGCAACCCGCCTAAAATGACAGCCCTTGCGGGAAACGCAACCCAGCAGGACCTCGAGTTTGCCCGCATTCTCAGTCCAGGAATGGATTGGCAGCACGGGTGCATCAAACCAGCAGATTGCAAGACAGGCTGCTTGTGTTGTGGTTTGGGGTGTGAAAGGGTGACAGCAAGTTGTCTCTTTTCCTAGTTGCCCGGGGTGCAGGGGGTTGTAACCCAACTGATCACAAGGCGCCCGGTTGTCCATGATACGCAAAGAGCACCTTTGGAAGGATCATGCAAGGCTAACTCACTGGAAATAACAGTGCGCACTTTTTGGCCTTGAAGTAGACTTCACAGGGTTCCCTCAAAAAGTTCCAAAGTTTGGCTTTGAAGGAGTGGGTATCCAACAAGGGAAAAGCGGCTGTGACTGAACAAAAAGCAAGCCACTTTGGCTGCGAGCACTTCTGCCATCGGACCCGGCGAGCAAAAAGGACTACGGGGCTGCAACTGGTTCGCAATAGGGGGGGGGTGCAAAATAGGAATCGGGCCTCGCAAATGGTTGGTTTCCTGTTAGTTTCCCTTTAAATACCGACCAGAACGAGTCATAAGCCATTTTCATTAAATAAACTCTCGGAAAGCGACGGAAGCGATGGGTCCACCTGCCGAGCAAACAACCACCTTGGCCACAAGATTGTGCTGTGTCTTGCTTCAGGGTTTGTTCCGCGCCTTGAAGAAAGGAAAATCACCATGTTGGAGGTTACCCATGTTGAGACAAACCCCATTGGATCCCCAAGTACCGGACCTGCATGGCAAGCTCGCTTTACCCCAGAATCGGTGAGCTTGGTTGAAAATCCAGGATTCCACTGGTTTCAGCGGGAACCAAAGGAAGGAGGCAAACCCATATGCATTCTTTTCCTTGTGGGGCGTTGCCGAGTAACCTTGTTGTCTAGGGGGCATTTGATGAGAGTCACCCATGTGACACCCTTGACTAGTGTGGAGTCCTTTGCTCACAACATTTGGACCCTTGACGCACGACCTCAGCTTTTGCCCCCAACCACCCCTATGTTTAATTCAGGTCCCATACTTGTTGAGTAAACCTCCTCAACTGTAAAAAAAAACCGAAAACAACAACACCAAACAAACAAAAACGAAAACACAACACACGAACACATCAAACAACACATCAATTAATTCACTACACATAGTAAACCCACAAATGTAGCATGGCGTGAAAACACTATCCCGGTCAACCCTGTGCGCCAGAAAGCCCCAAACCCCAAACCCCGCCTGCGACTGCGCCTCCCAGGCAGGCCAGGCTTCGCCTGAAGGAAATCGCTGCTTTGGGCCAACTTGGCCCATATGGGTGTGTCTTTGTTTGGGCGGAACCCCCTTGTTGGTTGGCATAGGGAGAAAAAGAAAACATATCATCTCGGGTATACCGTATACCGCATAGTTTTGGAGACCCGAGTGGAGGTCCAAAAATCTGCAGCTGAGTGGAGCGAGCGTGTGCCTGAACCCGTCAGCTAGCGCCAAGGAGACCCAAGTTGGAACTGTCTGCAGGCCATGATATTTTGTTCGTCTCCATGGGTGCCGGACCGGCCACATGTTTGACCATTCCCAAGTTCAACCTCCGGCCAGGTGGTTGGTTAAACGGAAACAACTTCATTTGATGTATTGAAAATAAACTCCATGTAACTGTATGTTTTCTCTGAAAGTATCCATGGCAGGCTTCTCAAATTTGGTGACCATGATCATTCCAGAATTACCGATAGAAATAACCTAAATGAGGGGCTCAGAAACTCTCACACTTGCGGGTTGTTGAGCATCACAAAGCCGGTCCTTGCGAAATCGGCACCTAGTTGCTTTCTGTTTAAAGACAAGGCCATTTGGCCCTATGTCATCCCAAAACTGACCACCAGAATCGTCAGTTTACTCGGGCCTGAAGAGCAAATGAGTTAAACTGAAGGCCTGGAAAAGCGCGGAAAAACCACGCATCGACTTGAGGGGCAACAATCCGTTGGATTGCTTTAGCACCCGGCACAAGCAAATCGATACAGTATGAAATTCTGAGGGAGGGGGTACTCTTTGGTGCACATCGTTTAGTTTGGGATTCACGTCCACCAACCACTTGTGAGGTAGTTCCCTATCGAAATTCATCGCCAAACGGATCGCGTGCTTCTCAAAATGCGGCGCCCTTTCAATGGGTGGTGTGCCTTTGGCTCAAATGGAAACAACAAAATGACCTAGGAAAAAAAGAAGCATGAAAGGTCTCTTTCCCCACTTGGAGATTAGATGTTCTGGCCACCTGACACTTCGAATTGCCAGGGCCAGTGGCTGTTGGATTGTCCAAGAGGGGGTGGCTCCCGACGCCCCGTTTCCAGTTTCGTACACTTTTCCCCATGTTTCAGCGCCTTGGAAGCTCCGGGTTAGGTCTCAAAGTTGTGCCCCCCCCGCAGAAATGGCAGCCACATGGCCATGGGTCAAAATCCCGTACCCCACATCCCAATCCCAACTGAAATAGAGTAAAATGGGTGGTGCACCTACCCCAAAATGGTACCATTGGTTTTGACGGGCACCCTCAAAAAAGGCCACACCCCGGCTGCTGTGTTTGCGGCGTTCCCCCGCCTTTGCCCCAGCCTTTGGCCCAGGCAGCTCCGTCTCCTCCCGCTCCGCGAAACGGAATTCGACACTGGTCGGACGTCGGGTCAGGGGCATGTGGTGAAGGCCAGGATTTCCACCGAAGTTCTCATATTCTCGCAACTAGCCTCAAAATGGTGGTCTCCTTTTTGTCTGGCTGGAAAAGTCAATGATTGAAATTGCCAAATTGTATCATCGGTTTTGGCATAGGTGTGGGCCTGGGCCCTGCAAATTTCTGATCGCGCAATCTTGGTTTGCGACAACACCTTGGACCTGATGTGTGTCTTCATGGCTTTTGCTATTCTCTGTTGTTCTGGGCAGGAAAAGTTACGGGATGGGCCCTTTTGTAACTAAAAGGCGCAGGGTGTCTTTTTCGACCCAAGTGGGTTAAACATTTGTAGCAAAGGTGCCATGGCTTTGTGCCGGCATCCACTCCTGTGTTGGTGAACCCCCAATCCCCAACAAAGGGTCCCATAATGGACCAACAGTCAAAGGAGGAAGAGGAGGAGGACGCTAAAAAAGAACTGGAGCAACTGCGCACATGGGTATATAATAGCTCGTATCGCAAAGTCGGTGGGTACTCACTACGGATTCGTTTTGGACTCGTTTTGGCTAGTTCGGTTGTTGTGTCTCCCTCGCCAAGAAGTCGGCCAATGACTTGAGAATCTCTTGTCGTCTGGCGTCTGGCTGTCGGCCACCCTTCTGGTCTTCGAGGGGCCCCCGTCTCCTTTTACAAGTTGCAATCCCAACTTCTTAGTATGACCGTAGCATGCCCTCAGATCCAGCTATAGAATGGGACTAGTTCACTCAACTAAACGTTGGCCCTTCTTGATCAGCATGAAATACACTGCGCTGTAGTTGCCTTTCGATCATCTGTCCGTTTCAAAGCCCCTCAAATATTGACGCGATTCAAAAGATGGTCATGACAGAGTCCGCTGATCAAGCTGTGCATGGTTGTGACGAATAACCCTTCCTGTGATACCAAAGTGGGGCATTCCCATGACTAGTTGGTCACTGCAAAGGAGCGTCCCTTGGTATAAAGTTGCTAAAAAACCTCGGTTGAGTGTCTGTGAGAGAGAAAGAGTTTGTCCACTGTGAAGTACGTCAATCGGCTCTATACCTACGGCTGGCGTCCCTTCAAATCGATCGAAGTCGCGCCAAACATTCACATCGTGCACGGCAAGCAGGCAACAGCAATGGCAAAAAAAGCAAATGTCAGCAACAACCGCAACAAACCCAATGCAAAAAGAGCGCTCCTTGCCACTGGCCTTCGGCTGCTTGCCACTGGCCCTCGGGCCACTGGGGCTGGCCCTGGGGATGCTGCTGCGGCGGATGCTGCTGCGGCGGATGCTGCTGCTGCGGATGCTGCTGCTGCGGATGCTGCTGCTGCGGATGCTGCTGCTGCGGATGCCCCGAAGGCTGCCCCTGAGGATGCTGGAGATGCCCCTGAGGGTGGCCTTGTGGGTGCGCCTGGGGATGCCCCTGGGGCCAGTGGCCGTCCCAGCCGGGCCAGCCTGCGCATTGAAACGACTCGCGCGAGGTAAGCAGAAAGGGAGCCCGGAGGTTTCATCAACCCCTTGGCTTGTTTTTGGTCGGATCCTCAAGTTCCCGACAACTTGGCGTGGCCATCTGTGACATGCTTGGCCGAGTTGAGGATGGACACCCATCCTCAAGTCCCCGGTGTTTACTTTGCTTCGCATCCTAAACTTGGATTTCCCCTCAATATCAGGGGGTGTTCAAATCTTAGCCCCTAATTATAGAAAGGGAAAAACCAACCGTCCGTGACTCCCTTGCCCTGAAAATTGAATTGTTTGTCTGTCAGAACTAAGCTAGCGTAGCATCAGCAAACTCTGAATTACTTGTTGGGATTGGTGTTTAAGGCTGAAGGGTACTATTATTCATTGGGAAGCCTTGGGTGGACATGATTCAAGTCCAATTTGTATCCACCAGCCAAGTATTGAGGGGTTCCCCATGAAATGTCTTTGCTGTTTGGAGCGGTGGCCACCAATTACAGGGTATTTGACCCGATTTGATACCTTCGCAGCTCAATGACCTTCGAACGGATGGTCGAAGTGACCAGCAAGATGGTCAACACTTTTGGAAGAGGACAAAGAGCAAACTGACATCTTCCCCTCGGCTTGGCCCACAGACTGGACCTTGCAGCTGCTGTTCCCCTATCTGGCAAACCCACATCGATGGGAAGTCGATATCAACCAACCATGTTTGGGAGTGTTGCAACCATGCCGTCATGTACAAATACATCCACAATGCAATTTGCACCGTAGCCCAAAAAATTAGACCGCTGCTCCGAAACTGCCCCCATATTCTCATGGGAATTTGATGAGTGTGCGAGATGGGCTTGTCTCACGCAGGCTTCCCTAAAAGAACAACAACTTTAGGAGTCTAGAAGCACCCTACAGTCATCCTGTTGGCGGCAGTAGCCAGCTTCCTTGGTGTGCTGTGTTGCTTTCTGCTGGTGGATTTACCCCAAAAACAACACTTTGGGATACCGACTCCAACTGTGAAGTTCACATTTGTTCATTCAGACTGAAAATAATCTAGGGGCCTTTTCTGAAAAAAAAGAAAGGAGGCAAACTTGTGGTGGAGAAAAAAAGACGCAGAGGAAACCACTACCATTTGGCATCAGGATCAACTGATGTTGAATGGGTCTGGTCAAAATGCACACCCAACTCCCCATGCGCCCGCCTTTCCCCTGCCATGCCATCTCCATCGAAGCCTCGAGATTCAGCCGAGAGTCGGGAGGCAAGGGAGCTGGAGGCTCTTGCAAGTGGGTGCCGAAGACTCATTGACACTTGTTCTACCACGATGGTTGAAAGGTTTGCTATGGCTATAGCCCCCTGGGACCCCATATGGCCGTTTTTTTTTGGTCATACGCCTTTGACCGAAAAAAATGGCCATACAGTTTTTTACGTTTTTTTTTCAACATGTCGAAAAAATATGGGTTTCATACGGGTGATTTACGCAAATGACCGAAAAATCATGGCCATACGTGCAAATACGGCCAAATACGGGAGTTTGACCGAAAAAAAACAGCCATACGGGGTGCCAGGCCTTACTACAACCATCATAAAACCAGGTAGTACCTGCTATGGGATTCGGTTTTGGGCGCTGCTCAAGTGGGCACCGCGCAACATGTCACATGACTCTTGGACCGACGATCGCTAGCATTTGGAACCTTGCAAGGGGCCTTTTGAGTTGTAATCCCGGCAAAGATGTGTAAGGCAACAAGCAGCTTCGAACTGTTCCTAGGGACTGGCCCTTAACCTTCCCAGGTTTTCAAAGGGGCCCTTTTAAAAGGGCTGGGTACATCCAAACTTACAAGGGAATCCTCTAATTCAGCTGCGATTGGATGTTCAAAGGCATTCTATCTTTTCAGGGACCCTGTTGAATACGACTCCTCAAGCCCGGGTCAAGTTGTCCGGAGTCTCCGCCTCGTGCCCCGCATTCGGGCCTCGGAGCCAGTGGAAAACCCGTGACCCGACAGGTGGGAAAAGAACTCTTAGTGAATTGCTGATCCCTCACTAAAAGTTATATACACAAATCCTAAGACTCTAAACATCTAGAAGTCTAAGGGTATGGCTGGGAACCGCCGATTGAAACCGCTTCGGGTTGATTCCGTTCGTGGGACACCTATAGGCCACTGAACCAGGGGCGCATGGTGAGGAACCCACGAAGGGATTTAGAGGGCTCGACTTGCCAAACACTCATCACTGCCGGCTTCAACGAACCCTTGACGCCAAGCCCCGTGACGTGTAGCCCTAGTTGGGCCTGTCTTCGAATGGGAGATGGTGTCTCTTGAAGCACGCAAAAACATGGTATCATTGCAAAAGAAACACACTCATTAGTGTCTGCGTGTGTTTTGAAGGGAACCCCCATTTCGGGGTGCTTCAAAGTTCAAACGGGAATTCCAAAGGACACCGGGAAAACCGGATTCATCTGCGTGTGCCAAAAACCAAGGTCGATTCTTCTGCCTTCCTGGACAAGTTCGGCATATCTCCAAGAGAAAACCATAAGAGCACCCGAAGGCCCAAACACTCTCCGATGTTTCTGTAAAGGAAGCATTCAAACCCCGAGGCCCACACCGCTCCAGGCAGGCATCTGGGCGTTCGGCACCTTAGGTAGTGCTGACATCTGTCTAAGTAAATTTGTCATAAGACATCCGATCCACAGGAATTGCCGGTCGGATACATCAAAATGATCCGTCCCCTTTAAGTCTCCGTTGGCTCATTCTTCGGCCATGCAGCAGTGCAGCAGCCAGCAAGGAATCCTCACAAAAAGAAGCTTCATGCATGAGATTCGCACACCTTCCGACAGGGTGACATCGCCACAATCAATTTGCGCAGACCTGTCATTGAGTGCGCCCGAGCATCACGTGTCGGAGCAAGCAAACCAGGCTCGGCGTCAGTGGAAATCGACGCTCGGCCATCCGTATCATGTAATGCTTGCGGGTCCAACCCCCACTGCGCTTCAACTACTTGCGAGCCAAAGATCCGGTAGCCTCTGGAAGGCTGCCCCTCAACTAAAACAAACATTGGCTCATGAAAGATGGGTAACGCTAGTCTTTGACGCTGCGAACACTTTGACTTTGTTGCAAAGTAGTGGTTCGTGGGGTGAAAAAGCATACATAAAAACCAAGCCGACTTGGAGCTCAGGGCGGCGCTGGCATGCGGCTCTCCTCTGCCTGAACCGACAGCGGAAGTAGGAATGAGACTCAACCCCGCTCCCGCTCCCCTGACACCCCTGGTTCCTCCGAAGGCAGAACGTTAGGATCTTCTGTTGGAGAAAGGTGTGGGTGGGTGGGTGGGCGGGCGGGCGGGCGGGCGGGCGGGCGGGCGGGCGGGCGGGCGGGTGGGTGGGTGGGTGCCTTGTTTGCAAGAGTTGTTGGAATCGTAACCACAACTGTGAGAGATTCTGTGATACTAGAAGGACTTCCCCCAGTATCCCCAAGATCTATTCACTATCTAAAACGGGTTGCCGGGGCATCACGTTAAGGAACCACTACCCTGCCAAGTTTGACCTAGCTTTTATCAGTCTTGCGGTTTCCCCAGGCTAGACTTACAACCAGGCAACCCCTCACTTCCACAACCCTGCACCGGGTCCTTTCTTTCAGGCTTACGACTTAGGGGCTAGCTCTTTGAACAAACTTTGCTCAACCTTGCTTGCTTGGGTAGGACCAGCTTTCCGTGCAAAGAAGAAAGGATAAAGCACACACCGCACGTCAAAGTGTTGATCCCAAAGCACAAAACGAGGCGGCTTGAAAAGCATACAAGGTACCGTGTGCTCAGATTGGAGATCACCAGTGCCCAAGTGAGGAACACGGTCGGCACGGGTTACCAAAGCGAGTCGCAAAAGGTGTGAAAGTCTAGTTACCCAAGACAATACAAATAATATCATCCCAACTCGTGCAGGATTTCCATCCACAGTATGAAAGTATCATGTTGCTTCAAAAACCTCATGTCCAGCTCATAGCTTCTTCCAAGGAGGGAATCTATTCTCGGTTTGTCGACTGCCGATTGCATTCAGCAGCTTTTCGGCGTTCCATCCGCGTCGTGGGCGCAGAAAAATAATCGTGTCTTACATGGTATCATGGAGATGGTTGCCATCAAAACAATTTACGAGCCTTCCAATGTCCATCCGTGCGCGAACAGTTGTCGAATCTAAGATAAGTATTAGCGAGGAAGCATCCTTCATGTGTTTCATGATGGTATCCCGTGACACCTTCATATACTTTGAAGCTGGAAGCACTTGGAAGTAATCTTGAATGGCCGGATCCAGCACAAGGGGAGTTCCTAGGTGCCAGTATTGCTCCACTGAATCAAACGGCCAGGCAATATACCTTCGGCATGCCGCTCAAGGCTGTGTTTTTGGTTCGAATGGACTCAAATCCAGGACCTATTCGTTGAAGGGTACGTGTACCTCTTCTTTCGGGGGTCACCAACAAAACGAACCCGTGATACCGCCTGTGACTGCTGCATCTGCTGCATTTGCTGCACCGGCTGCATTGGCTGCGGCTGCATTGGCTGCTGCATTGGCTGCTGCATTGGCTGCACCGGTCGCATGTGGGGCCTGGGTAGAAAGAAGTACAGATCTTCGGAGACAATACGGGTGCCGTGGGAGCCTTGTATGTTGCTCGATAACACACATAATATAAAATCAAGCATGTTGGGGTTCCTAGCAGTTTGTGGACTTCAAATGGCGCGCAAGAAGCTCAGGGTTTGTTGAGCCTACTCAAGAAGCGAGAAAATGACGGACTTTGCCTTCCCGTTTGGACTTCCCTTTGAAGACGGTCTAGCATGAAGCCGAATGTCCAAAAGCTACCATGGAAAGTTGGTGTTGACAAAGCCCCCCGCCCCGAAGAATTGGATCAAAACCAGAAAAAGCTCAAGACATGCACTGCGTTCAAACCTGGTCAGGAATCGCAAAAGTTGAGTGCCTCTGGGGACCCTGGTTTTAACACACACACACACACACCTGGGTGAAAAGCGACTTTCAGTCACTTGCTCGTGAATCAACCAGGGAACTGCTGAAAGTTGTCGAGCAAACATCTCTTTCTGAATGACGTCCATATCCTCCCACTGTTGAATCTGGCTGGGGCTTCCTGGTGTGGAGCCGTCTGGCGGGAGGGGAATAGAGAGAGCTACGAACTGACACGCTTTCTTCTCCCCTGTTTCATGAGACCCCAACCGAAGCAATTCCCATCCGTTTTCCCCTCGAAGGCCGTGGCTGCATCTGCGGAAAGCCAGGGCCTTGCAGGTAAGGCAATCAGGAAGATTGCCTTGCAGGACCCCCCCGGTCAGGTTCAATGGTAGGGGGCGGGAGTGTAACGTTCAAGATTCCAAGGGAATTCCGATGGCTTCAAAGGATCTAAGGGGCCAAGGATCCGCCAAAGAGACCGACCAAGCCAGGCCAAGTACAGAGTTGCAAATCCCTGCCTGCTCCTAGTCGCAATCCGTAGGAATATGGAGGTGAAGGTCGTGGGGAGCCATTGCTGCACATACATCACACTAGGTGACAGTGAGCTGCACATACATTACCCTCTACGTGGCGATGATGGTGCAAGCCAGTGTGTCAGAATAGGGGGACCCCTCATGTGTGGGTTTCTGCTAATTTCCTTTCAAATCAAATAACGAAGGGTACCTGTCGTGACCACTGCTCATATGTACCATGGTTAAGACTCCTCATGCGGGGCCTGCGCCAAGGTCGCCTGAGGAGCCCTTCTGACGGTCCACACTCCGGATTGAAGGGTTTGAGAACAAGCTCAAGCCATAGTCAAAGGGGAGGAACGTGGATGTTAGGCTTTTGTTCAGGTCTTACTCTTGGGGTGTCTCTTGGAGATCCGGCTGAGTCTGGGTTGCTCCAAACCCTGTCACTCCCGCCCCCCATTCCACGAAACCTTGGCACATCTGGCCTGGCATCTGGGCGTGGTTCTCATGGTTGAGGAACGCGACCTGGCACTCTGCAAACGTTCTCGCAAAATCAACTACTATACATTTCAAGCATGTTTGCACTTATAAAACTATTTTGGACGAGGTGAATCGATCGCCATTTACCAGCTTCTTGCTTGGGAGCCCTTTGGCGGATATCATTTACATGCGGATTTACGTCTATCCAATGCACAGGTTGGAGGCTCAAAGCTCGAAACAAGCCGTAGAGCAACCAAGCAAGCTCTGGACTAGAACTCTTCGGTTCCTCCTGGTGAGAGTCATTGAGCTCTTCCACAGCGTGAGAAGGTCTTGGAGATCATAGCCTTCAACATGTGCAGGTGTGTGTGTGTGGGCTGGTGCCTGCGGTGCTTGGGGACTCCACGCCTTTGTGTAGTTGTTGTTTCTTAGAAGTTGTATGTTTCTCAGATTGCGTTTGCGAAACATTCTACACATGATGATGACAAAGCCTCACTTGCACCACGCCATGAAGTAACATTAAACATGGGATCTTGGCAGGTTGCTGCTGCGTCATCGTGCGGATAGTTGTTGCATTGTGATTTGTGTAGCCTAGCCATGTCAAACGTCTTGCAAAGTACAATGGTATCTTCGCGAGATTTAAAGCTCCACGCAAACCGCAAAAACCATGTAAGCAACCA